ACCTTCTGGGACCACAAGGGGAAATGTTGAGGATGAGCAAAGAGCTGCTTGTCTCTGGGACCTATTGTGTTGCATTCCCCGGCCTCCAGACAGGAACAAAATCTCATATCTGTGAAACAGAACTGCCTGAGCATCGTCTGAGACTCATCTGGCTCTGTGAAGCCTGTGGGGCTCCTGTTCCTCAACAGATGCCCATTTATTTCTCTAAACAGTTTGTGACATGTCTGACTCGGTGAGGGGACAGGAACATCTGGGTCACAGCTGAGCCAGACAGGCTGGAGGCAGAAGTGGAACTTGCACTGATGTCCTCCATTCCCTGTGCAGCACCAGGGCAGACACCGGACCATGGCCAGGAAGACGTCTGAATGGACAGAGAGGTCCTCCTGGTGTCCAGGAGGACAGCAAGGACTCAGCTCTTTCCCCTGTCCCCTTGCCTTGGGGTTCGACTGCTGAAGATCCAATTGTGCCTTGGTGCCAGCTTCAATTTGCAGATTGTCATGCCTGATCCATGAAGGGTGCAGCCACACCACCAGCAGCATTATTGACCCATCTGCATGAAAATTCCTGGCTGAAGAAGAACCCCACTTGCCATAGACTTTCTTCACAAGAGAACCAGCGCTAAACTGCCCCAAGAACTTATGTGGGACAGCTCCTGGGGAGGTGTGGTCCAGCCAGCCAAAATTCTCTCCTCCCTTGCTGCTTGAAGCCCAGGTGCCCCAAAGTGATGAGGCATCCAGAGAAGCCCCTGCCCAACCCCTCAGCTGGGCAAGGGGAACCCTGACCCAGCCACCCCAGCAGGCACCCGGGGCATTTGCAGCACCTCTGCTCCTTTCTCACCAAGAAAAAGGATGGGTGTTGGGTGAGATGTTCTCTGGCGACCTTCCAGTTAGGCTGAGAAATGGAGGTTGCTTTTACTCTCTGTGGCGACCAACTCTTTCAAGCCCAGAGATGACTCCGGGCAAACTTTTCTTTCTGGCTCTTTTGTGTGCTGGGCTGTTTTTCCTGGAGGCGGCTGCACATCAGCACAGCTGCCTGAAGTTTGCTTGTGAAACACAGGAATGTGAGCAGCTCCTCAGCTGTTGCTCTGACAGCTCCTCCTTGCAAGGCAGAGGCTGGACCTGTTAACTCATTCCCACCCATGCCTCCATCACTCCTGCAAGCACTTGGGCACAGATGCCCCAGAAGCATTAGGTTTTAAGCAGATTTTAAAGGATGGATGCCCCTTCCCATGTTGTTCTGCTGTTCCCCCTCTCTGAGTTTAGCCAAGCCGCTTGCTCCCACGCCGAGCAGGACCAGCTGTATCCCTGACTCCACCGGTCACCTCCAGCCAGGGGAGCAAGCCAGATTGCTCAGGCAGGATTCAGCCCGAGGAAGACAAGCAAGGTGATTTATCCCAGCCGGGGCAGTTTTGCTCCACAGCAGCCAACCTTGACAAACACTCCAGCTTTGTAGCGGTGACCCCAACTTCCAGAGATGTCCTGCTGCTGCCCCGGGATGCTGCGGGACACATGCAGATACCGTGGAGGGATTCTGAGCACCTTCTCCTGGCCCCAGGCATCCCAGCTCGGCCGGTTACTGACCTGTCTCCCATCTCCCTCAGCAGCAGGTGGGTCTGGAAGCGTCCAAGTGTCACGGGCCAATTTTTCTTATTTCTACCCACTTTGAGCTCTTCTTCTTCTTCTTCCAGCTACTTCGTTCATGCCTGCGGGTGCTGACTCACAGGAAGTCCGTGTCGGTGATGTAAAAGCTACCGGGGGAGGAGAGACAGAGAAAAGGGAGCTGGGTCAGGGAGGGAAGGGGCTTGAGGGTAGGAAACAGCAGCCCTAAAACCTTTTGGGTGTGGGTTGGGGGGATCCCCAGCCAGCGCTGCCGGCTCCTGGGAGCTGTAGTCCTTGGCGGGGATGCTGCTTGCACCTTCGCTTTGGAGGGTGCCTACGTTTGGTGGCTGAGGGCTGGTTTTGGGAAATGCAGTGCCCACGCTGCAGCAGGCTGGAAATAGCTTTTGATTTACATTAGTTCTCTCTTTAAATTGCATTTTTAGGCGGCTGAACTGCGCTGCTTTGCATTAGAAGTCCCCATTACGCACCTCTGAGACCTCACTGTGGATGCTTTCACTCTCTGTTCATGTGGCTGACACCCCCTTAGACTTCTGGAAGCAAGAAAAGCCACCCTCTTCTGCTCTTCCATCACCTTTCTGTCTGTGGATCTCAAAACACGTTGTCAATGGGAAATACAGTGAAGGGGGACGGTTGGTGAGACAGTGGCGGAGGCCAGGTCTGCATCCTCTGCTAGACACAGCGGAGGGAGTCCCCACCCAGTGAGTCCAAGAAAATTGTTTCCTCCAAGCGGCTGTGAGTCTCCCCGTGAGTCTCCAGCTCCCAGGGGAGGCTGGGCTGCCTGTTCCCGGGTGCTTCGTAGCAGTTAGCAGTCTGCCCAGATTGGGCTGTGGTTATAACCAGCAGCACTGATGCCTACAGAAATCCACAGTAAATCCATGGTCTTGCCAGTCTGGGTCACGTAGCAGATCCTGGAGCATTTGGTGGCTGCTGGACATGTGCTAATTTGGGGTGATGGAAAACCCAAGCCACGTCTCTGAAACAAAGGGTGATATTCCCAGGCACTGGAGCACAATTTTCTCAAATCTCAGGTCTTTACCTGAAACTTTTAGCCTGAGTCAGAGCTGGAGCCAGGGATGAGTCCCAGGACTGAGCTGGGTGATGCCATGCTGAATGGAGTGTAGGTGCATGGGTGCAAGGCTTGGTGCCCTCAGGGCTGGAGAAGTGTCCTCAGCTCAGCTGAATCACTCTTACAGACGCAGCCGCCTTGCCTGGCTGTTTATCACTGGCACCTTGCAGGTGGCAGCTTGGGTAGCACAGGTTAAAGTGCTGGGGGCACACACTCTCAGAATTAGGGCTTTTAAAAAAAATAGTAATTTTTAAAACATGAACATAATTGTACTGTAAAAAAAGAGTTCAGCCTGTACTGGTGGTTGCATGTTTTGTGCTTCTTAAGCTTTCTGATTTCAAATATGTGCTCACTGGTGTCACTTAGAAGCCAAACCAATGCCTCCTGACATCATTATTCAGATGAAATGAGTCCACAATGGTTTCAAAGCGTGACGTGGGAGAACAGAAAAGAAGGATGAGGTTGCACATCTGACATAGGTTGCTTCACAGAATCACAGAATGACAGGGGTTGGAAGGGACCTCTGGAGATCACCCAGTCCAAACCCCCTGCTAAGGCAGGCTCACCCAGAGCAGGGGGCAGGGTTTGAATATCTCCAGAGAAGGAGACTCCACAGCCCTCCTGGGCAGCCTGCTCCAGGGCTCTGTCAACCTCAAAGTAAAGAAGTTCTTCCTCATGTTCAACTGAAACCTCTTCTGCTTCAGTTTGTGCCCATTGCCCCTCGTCCTGTCGCTGGGCACCACTGAGAAGAGTCAGTGCTTGCAGGATTTTGTGGAGATCCAAAGTTTTGCCTCAGTTTCCCCATGTCTAAAATTGAGCTGAAATACTGTCACTATTATTTGTCTTTTACAAGAATTTAGTATCCTCAGGAAATAAAATATTATTATATCCCATTTTTGAAACCTTGGAAAAAACAGCTCCAGTTTTTCTGGACCTTTTGGGTAGGAAGTTGGACCTTCTGGATCACCCCATGTCACACTCCTGGCTCACAAGTGGCTTGCCAAGTGACTACAAAAAGGAGTGACACTGGCATTCTCTTTGCTTCTCTTTTCCCAGTTACAAAACAGAGAAGAAGGACAAAACCTGGGAGAAAGTGGATGTTTTTATGTTCTCTTTTTGTTTGGTTTGGGGTATTTTTTTGTAGTTAAGGAAGTGAGGTGACGCAGGAAGATTAAAACACTTGTCCAGTCAAAGGGGAAGCCCCAGGTGAAAGAGAAGCAAAGTCCTCTGACATCTGTGGCCTTACACTGTTGCACCAGACTCCTTTCTTGTCCTTAGTAGGGGCGGTGATATGTGGTGACTCGGTTGACAAATTGTCCTGGTGAAGACCAGGTATGGAGGCATCATCTGCCCTAACGCAGGTGGATGGGGAGTAGCAACCTGATGCTGCTATTGCACTCATTTAGCAGTGAAGAGCCTTTGGAAGAGGGGTCCTGTTTCTTGCCACCGTCTGTGCCTGCACCCCCCTTGAATGGGACTGTGGGTCCAGGATGAGTCAATTGAGCTGGATGACTTGGGAAAGCACCC